TTTAGGAACCACACCTCTCCTCAAAATCTGGAGCTGTTTGGGAATTAAGGCTCCTTAGAAGAAATCTCTTTTTTTTGGGGGGGGGGGGGACGACCACCAGCAGGCTTTCTGTCAGTAAGGAAATGATGAGAATTGGTGGGTGGAGGGAGTTAGCTGTTGCATGACTGTTAAGAGCCTTTGTGTGGGACCGATAGGTCATTTGGTGACTGCAAACCATATTTATTTATTGCTTATTATATTTCTAATTCTTCCAATAATGGGAGTTCTCCACTCCTGGTCCAGCATCTTCACCAAAACCACCTACTAGCTCTCAGAATGGGTACTGTATAGACTTACAAAGCAGGGGTTACATTTCTACTCATTTCCTTATAAACTCCAGTAGGGCTTTGGATGAGCCCTTCTCCAAATGTTTCCCGGGATGATATATATATTTTTTCTTCTGCAACCTTTTCCTTCCTTTAAAGCGGTACTATGCCATTTCGGCTGGCTGTTGCCAACTTCCCCCTGAGCTTCCCGTAGTCTATAATGTTTCCACCCCCAAGTCTTGGAAAAGGCTGGGGTTTAGTTTTGCTCCTAGCCTTGGCATTGCAACAGAGGGAATGTCATTTTTCCCCTGCTGCCTTTCCACAGCCTCGCACTCCAGTGCCTGAATAATTGCTGCTCAGCAATTCAGAGAGGCGAATTACTTCTGCGTTATTGGCAAGAAAGTTGTCTGTGTGTGTCCATGAAGTCACCGGGAGATTGAGCTTGATTCCAGAATATTTCTACTTTTTCTCTGTAACACCAAGTTGTAATTAGTTGAGCCCTTTATGAATAGCAACTGTTTAAATGTGGCATAATGTCAATCAAAAGCAACCAGAATCACACGTGAAGAGTCTCGAAGCTTAAAATTAGTCACCCAGGTTCACAAGTATCTCAACAGACTGACTGCATTCCCTTGGGAAGGGCAAGACAAGGCTTCAAGGATTCGGGTGGCAGTCAGGCCTGTTCTGCTTCTTGCAGTAGAACTCTAAACTTGGGAACCTCTTGATCCTAGTCTAGTTGGAGATTCCACCACATGTATTGATTTCCATTCTTTCATCTTGCCGCATGAATGAACCTACCCTTGGATCCTCTTCTAAGATGTCTTCTATGGACAAACATTCTGGTTGCTTAAGAATGCCGTTATTGGTTGGGCTACAACTTTCTGTTTAGCAAATTTCTTCAGCTAATACAGATGTTATTTGTGAGTTTTCTCTGAAACACTGCTCAGATATGATTGTGACTCATTTGTGATTATATCTAGAGGATGGCTTTTGCAGTACACAGCTGCTTGTTGATTTGTCATGGCGTTGAAGTAGTCAACAGGTTACTATCTGGAATGAAGATTAAGTTGCTATCAGAGAACCAAGAAGCTAATCCAGGAATCAGCATGAAGCCCAGGATTGTCAGGCTCTGAAAACCAAGGACACACAGAGTTACTTCTAAGCAGTTTCCTTTATTGTTCCTCACTTATGGACAGAAATCTTGCCAAACTATTTGCATCATTGATGATTAGCTTCTAGGGAGGAGCAGCCTGAAACCTTTTCCTTCAACCAGACTATCTAAACTTTACTGTCTCTTGGTACTCTGGAATGCAGCCCCTCCCTCCTTGGAATCCAGGCTACTTTCCACCACAACTGCCTTTCTAGATTTAATTAATACTGTATTAATTTTTTTAAAAAAAATGAAACCAGAAGCTGGTTCTGTGCAGCAAAATAAAGCATCTTTAGCAGTGCGTTGATTTGTAGACATATCTTCAGGCTACTCAGAGATGCAATTTAGAGGCAGTTGCCCTTTTGAGAAATAGGGTTTTGGCTGACCAGATCCAATGGGGTCTCCTCTAGAGGACATTTGGTGAATTGTAGCCTTACCTGTTGTCAAATTCCATCCATGTCTGGAATGATTGAATAGCAAACTGACCTTGGCATAACCCATGGAGGAGTTAGCACTGAGCAAAACAGAAATGTTCCCACCTCCCATTTTGGGGAGGAAAGATTCACTTTGAGATAGATATGGACTAAAACTTACTGGACTTTAAGAAGGTGATGAAAAGCTGGCTTTTCCAACAGCCCTTGAGGATGGATGTCTTTAGAAATGTTCTTTCTTGGAAAGTGGTATTCTGTTTGAACCAAGCTTCTTTATTGCCCCTGGCACAGAGTTGTGAATTGTTTGTAACTTGTTTAATTTGTATATATATTTTAGCCTGATTTTACAGAATAGCATATGTGAACTGCTCAGACTTGCATAGCACAGGAGCAGTGTAGAAGCCCAGTAAAATAAATAAATAGGTTAATAAATGTTGACAGAACCAAAGTTGTTTGCCTATTTGGCCTTAATTCATTAGCTATCTGTAAGCCATGGTTTATGCTGTTTGTGTAAAAGGAAGCCCATTGTGATGTATTCAGCCATGGCTTAGTGTTATTTTTGAACCAGCCTTTGATTTAGGAGGGGCCCCTTATTCACCATGGCTAAGCCAGCATTAAATGCAGAATAGTGAGTTTAGCAACTTCAGCTGGGAAGGGGAAATCATAGCTGTTATTATTACAGAGAATCTTTAATTATTAGAAGCTCATTAATTGTTCAGGCTACTTACAAGAGCGGCTAAAGCTTGAAACACCTCCCAACATTCACTTTCCTTCAAAAAGAGGCCTCATCTGTTGCCATGAAGGAGTGTCCGTTGAATTGCAAGGGTGGTCCATGTGAGCATAGAAGAAGGCTGCTGGAACATGTGTTTTTTTTTGGGGGGGTGGTGGTTCTTGGGTCCATTGCCAGACTGTGGTCTCCTTGAGGGCTTGCCAACCATCAAGAGGAACCTCTGGTCTAACAATCCTTTGATTCTCTTTTGGATCCAGTGAAGGTTGTGATCCTACAGAGCAGATGTAATCTCGATGTTGAAGATCTGTTTTGGAACTTCATCCTGGTGTGCTTCTCCTGATGGTGCTTCTTATTCCACCAGGGGCATGAAAGATGGTGAGGAAGCTCAGAAAGTCAACATGGAATGGTAGGCCACTGATGGATAGCAGAAGAATTGCTTAGCAACTTCTCTTCTAAATGGCATCTGAGTCCAGACTGCAAAAAGGAATTGGGAAGAAGACTTTCAAAAATAAGTCCAGCTTAATGAACTTATTTGTAAACGAAGTCTGGGAATTCCAACTGCTGTTTTTTTTACCCCTAATTGAAATTTTGAAGTCACTGAGGGTTTTCAGCATGCCATAGAAGGATGAGACTTGGTTAAGAAGGATTATTTATTTGTCAAATTTATTGGCTGTCCATCTTACTTCCAGGTACTTCTCAACTCAAGGATCAAGCTTCCTTATGCCAAGCACCATTCCAACTTGGAGACCTCATGATAAAGAGGCCACAAAAGAAGATTTGTCCAAAGGAGGCCAGGGCCAAATAGAAATGAATTAAATGTAAAGACAATTATGTTCAGTGAATGTTGTTACTGTAGCTGGTGCAGGCTGTCAGAGTGTCTTGAAGCATTTTGTCTTTCAATTGACTCTGTGAAACCTAACAGGCCATACTCATTCCCAAGGCCCGAGAGAGCAGTAATCACATCATAAAAGTCTCCATCATACAGGTTTGAACTTCTGTGTTAGATACCTTAGCAATGTGAACCACTTGCTCTCCATGTGTTGGAGAACTGAGGTTGCTAGAAGCTCTATTGTGAATTTTTAAAATTCTTGTCGAGTTGCAACCTTCCTTGCTCCTGCTAAGAACAGAAGAGAGGGGGAAAAAAACACAAGCATGTAGTATTTGGCAGGCCAAATAGGAAATAGGAGAATTTTCCATGATTAATATTCGCTGGGATGCTTCTCTACAGTGCCAGTGTTTTAGCTTGGAATTGCTGCATTCCCCCAACACACACACACACTTGTGGTGGGCATCAACACAATGCCACCGTTGTTCAGCTTTTTCTCAAGCTTCAGGTTTCCTTCCTATAAAAAACATAAAGGGGGGGGGGAATTCTGTATGATAACATTGCTGCAATTTCTTCTCTTCCTTACCCAAAGAGGACCATTATCCTATTACACCATAATATTTTAATGTTCATTTTTGTAGTGTACTGTAATGCAATAAATGGTTTGAACTCCACCAACGCAGTTGGTTGGTGGCTTCAAATGACTGACTTTGGCTTGGTTTTGAAGAAAGCAGGGTAGGCTTGTTAGGACTTGGAGAGAAGACCACTAGCAAGTCCCAGGACTTTAAGTTAGACTGGAACACTTAAACTACACTTAGTGGGTTGCCTTGCTACTAAGGGCTCTTTTAATAAATGTTAATCCCCTGTGAAGTCATCCTCCTAGGTTTTCATGTTCTCACCAGACATCTGGGCATGTCCATATTTTTACAACTTAAACCACCCTCAACCTGGAATCTCCAAATGCATGAAGGAAGTTGGCCAGGTGTCCACCTTCATAGTGGATATGCTTGGTGGAAATTGTGTAATTTATATCCTAAGGCATTTCTACCTCAACAAGCTGAAGAAAAATGCAATTGAACCTCACCTATATTGGCTGTAGTAGAATTTCTACAGGGATTAGGCTAGATTGGTGTTTTTCAAACTTGGCCCCTTTGTGTGGACATTCCCACCCACTCCCAACCCATGGGAGTTGAAGTTCACCCATCTTAAAGGAGCCAAGTTTGAAAAATTCTGGGCAAGATGATCTCTATGGTGCCAACTTTTAATGCTCTATGATTCTGTGATTACTTCTTACCTCTCACCTATATTTCAGGTATTTCCAACACTTTTCTTTCAGGAGCTATATAAATAAGGGTTATTCCTTTTATGATAAACTGCTTTTTAGACAACCCTGGTCCCTGGGTGAACATTCTGATTCTTCTAAATTGCAGGGCAGCATAAATTGTGTTTCTCAAGGCTACACACACTAGCCCACCAGCCCAGTATTCTTGCCTCTAGATTAATCCTCCTCCTTCTCTTTTAGCCTTCCAAAGTGCACAATTTTATCCAAACCACGTGGCAGATTGCTTGGTGGCTGATTCTTATGCATCCAGCAAAGTGCAAAATTTTATTGCATTAATTAAATGGCCAAAAAAAGGGAGAAGCTTTCAAAATTCAGCCAGGTAAGAGGTTTTTTTTTTTTTTTTTGCTAGGTATTCACCTTCTATGCCTGGTCAAAATAAATAGTAAAAAAGTAGACGTCTGTCTTTCTTGTGAGGGGGAACCCCTCCAACCTTCTTGGCTCTAAATTTAAAATGTTGATCTGATGAAAATCGAAGAAGCCCATTCTTTTGGCAAAATAGTCATTCGGAAAGAGTGGTTTGATTAACTCCAGACTTCCACTGAATTACAGGTTAGACAGCTTTATTTATATGTCAGGAATAATTCCCCCCCTTTTCATGTTGCTGTTTGATTCAGAGCCTTTATTCAACCTCCTTAACAGGAGAATTTGCATTTTCTCGGGACTTAAACAAGAACGTATTGAATGCGTTGATGTCGAAGAGGTAAACTAATGCTGGTCTTGGCTGGCATCCAGTCAGATCCTTCCTAACTTTCATGATGGCCCAGGATTCTTGTTTGGGCTGCCAAGGGCAGGAAACCCAGTGAAGTGTTGATTAGCTGGATGGAAAGCTTGTGAATCAAGACCATCCTTCGGAATTCTTGGTAAGGAAACGTTGGAAAGCTGGAATAGGAACTCTGGTTAAAGATGTCTTGTTCTTTGCTTACTTGGCGATCGAAAGAGGAAACCAGTGACCAGGATGTTGTTGTGCTAAGTTCTTTTTATAGTTCTTTTTTAATGGAAAGTGATTACTTTTCCAAACACCGATGCAAAGAAACTAAAATGTCTATTTGTCTTCTTTGAGAAGGGCCTTTGCTTACAATAATATTATCAAACTCTTTTGAACAGATATCCCTTCACTTCCAACCACTGAAAATTGCTCGTTGGGCGGTGCAGATGGTGCAATTGTGAAGCGAGGCATCATGTGATCCTCCACCCAATTTTATGACTGAGGTTGTTAAGTGAATCACTGCAGTTATTAAGCAAGACATCACCTGATCGTGATTTGAGACCTTCCCCACTAATTTTTGGGAAGCCGGCTTAAAAGCAGGCAAATGGCAATCATGCGACCCAAGAATGCTGCAACTGTCATAAAGTTGCCAAGGGCCCAGATTGTGATCATGAGACATTGCAGCTGTCCTAAGCGTAAGGATTGGTCAAAAATACCTTTTTACAGCACCATTGTAACTTTGAATGCTAGCTAAACAAATGGTCCTAAGTTGAGGACTATCTGTAAGCCCAAAAGCATAGGTTTTGCAAATGTGGCAGAGATTGTCAGAGAGTGAAAAGGATCCAAGAAATCTGATAATTGTGCAGTGATATTAAAACTCTTCAACCTGGACTCTTGGCCAGTTCAGCTTTCTAATCCTAAAGATGGAATTGACCTACTGGTAACCTGGGGCTACATTTTCACCAGAGTTTGACCAAGGAACAACTCCATAGCTTTTTCCATTCCAGATTTGGTGCTTGTAGTGTACAGTAGTACCAGGGAGGACAATGCACTGATGATGTTAGCTGGTCAGTGTAATCAAACGTCTACAAGAAAACAACCCAGCTCAGAGAGCACCAAGGACCCCTCAGACAGCAGAAACAACAAGGTTTTGCTTTACTTGGTGGCGGGGCCAGCCTTGATTCCTTTTGTGCAACCAAGCGACATATTTCTTGATAGTCGATCATTGGTTAGGGAGCATGGAAGGTTGCCCGTTAAGACCACCTGAAGCATAATTTTTTTTAGAGCTGGTGAGAATTGCTGCAACATGATATTTTCAATATCAGCACAGGTAGTCCTCGAGTTACAACCACAATTGAGCCCAACTTTTCCTTGCTAAGCAAGACGGTTGTTAAGTGAGTTTTGCTCCATTTTATGATCTTTCTAGCCACAGTTATTAAATGGATCACTGCAGTTGTGAAGTTAGCAACATGGTTGTTACGTGAACTCTGACTTCCCCATTGACTTTGGTTGTCAGAAGTTTGCATAAGGGGATCACATGACCCTCCCAGGGACCCCGGGACCCCCATAAATACATGCTAATTGCTAAGTGTCTGTATTTTGACCATGTGACCAGGGGGATGCTGCAACACTGTGAAGGGCATGTCCATTTTTTCAACTTTCAATTTCCAAACATTAAGGGGCTCAAAAGTTGTCATATGCCTTGGGGATTGTAAAGATATTTTGCAAAATAGAATAGAATAGAATGGAATAGAGAATGGAATAGAGAATAGAATAGAATGGAATGGAATAGAAAATGGAATGGAATAGAATAGAAAATAGAATAGAGAATGGAATAGAATAGAAAATAGAATAGAGTAGAATAGAGAATAGAATAAGGATAAGAATAGAATTTGGAAGGGACTTTGGAGGTCTTCTAGCCCAACCCCCTGCCTAGGCAGGAAACTTAGATGTGCTTGGTTAATAACTACATAAATATCATAAATTTTAAAATTTTATTTGCTTCATTCAACAGTCATAAGTCATTTTTTTCAGTGAAGTTGTAACTTCAAACAGTCAGTAAAGAAATGGTTGTAAGTTGAACATTACCTGTATATCATAATGCCTAATTCCACCACTTGTGAAGACTTGAGTTTTGTCTGGATGTTGATTTTAGTACTGGAGCTTGGATGGTCTGAAGGACCAGATTAGAAGCAGATTATCATGAAGAAAATCTAGCTGTGTGGTCACTAAAAGTTGATTCTGACACATTTTAATCATTCCTATTGAGAAATATCTGGGCACTAGAACATGTTTTGATTTGCTTTCTGCCGCCTCTGATTTATTGCTTTAAATAATTTTTATTCCAAGTTTTGAAAGTAATTATAAGAACTAATTCGAACTAAAATAGAACAGAGAAAATGAAAAGGGAAGATAGAAAGGAAAGGCTAAAAGCACAATGAGGGAGGGAGAAGAGAAGAAAGGTGGGGGGAAGAAAAATATATAAATAAGGGGCTTCTAATATTCTTCATAGCAGCTACACGTACAATTTTATTTTAATCTCTCCCTCTAAAGTTGCATCTTGACTCTCTTCTTTCTATTATCTACCCTGTTTAATCAACAAAGCCATAAATTGCAGTCATTTTTTTTTTGTTTTATGCAAAAAGCCCAGAAGGATTTCCAGTCACCCATAATTGTAGATACGGCCCTTCCTCTAATCAAAGAAATCAATTTGTCCATCTCAGCAAGATCGGCCAATCCTTTCCATCTTTCTGCTGCCTCTGATTTATTTTATCACCTATGCAATTCACTTAACAACTTCAAAGATTCCCTTAACAACCGTCTGGCAAAAGGGCTGGTAAAATCAGGTGTGAGTCACTTAACAACTGCCTTGCTTTGCAGCAAACATTCCTGTCCCAATTGTGGTAATAAATTGAGGACTACCTCTACGTAAGAGAGCTTTCTTCAGCAACATGTTTTTACTCTTATTATTGTTTTAAAAAAAATTCAGTATTTTTAATTGTAATGAAGTTTTTGAATTGTAAGCCTCCCAGAGTCACTGACTGAGATGGGCAGCTGTAGAAATTAAACAAACAAACAAACAAACCTTGAGGGTGAAGTTTCATTCTCCAAGCTTGTGAGTTGGTTTCCAAATGTTTCTTAGCCATTAATTTTCTTCTCAGCCCGGACAAACTCCACATCGAAAAGGGTACAGGTGTCGTTGCCTAATATCCAGTAGTGCAAAGCACCATAGAGATTTATCTCAGCCTCAGAAATAGTGAGATAATCCTGTAGCTAGACAGAAAATTTCACAACAGTTAAGCTTCATAAATCCAGTTTCTTGCATGATGCATTCTTACCTCTGAACAGAAGTGGTATTCAGCAGGTTCTGACCAGTTCTGGAGAACTGGTAGTGGAAATTTTGAGAAATTCGGAGAACTTTAAATATTTTGGAATACCACCTCTGATTGGCTCTGCCCCTATCTATTCTTTGCCTCTCAAGTCTCAGCGGATTGGCTGGGTCTTCTTTGGTTGCCCTGCACAGGAGAATGGAGCTGGAAAGCAGGTTAGTGGGGTGGGGAGAGAATGGAGATTTTGCAGTATTCTTCCCCTGCCACACTCACTAAGCCACGCCCACCAAGCCACACCATACCCACCAAGCCACACCCACAGAACCGGTAGTAATTTTTTTTGAATGCCACCACTGCATCTGAACAGTGAGTCTCCGACAGCTGACCCATCACAAGACCTGTTACAAAATGCTCACTTGACACACCCACACCTGAAGCCCTTATAAACAGCACACTGAGACTGACACCCCCTAAACTCCGCTGACAATGTTACCTAGCCTGGTAATGAATTGTTTGGAAACCAACCAACAAGCTCAGGGAACTCACCCTCATGCTACACCTGAGCTACAGATATTTGCCACTGTTGCCAAACAAATATTGGGTTGTGTTCCACCAGCATTTATCCTTAGCCGAGCTATAGATGCTGATGCTGCATCGTTTAATCAAACAGTTGGCCTTTGATTGCTGATGCTACATTTACCGAGGAAAGTGTAGGAGCTGATGTTGGTGAGCATTTATCGGTATGTACTGTATGTATCTTGCTGTCTAAACTTTTGATTGTTTCTCTGGAAGGGCTTCCCCAGAGTCATTCTAGTGGATGGTGGTTTGGCAAGTCTTCCTCTATTTTTGCAACAGGAATGAGCCTTCATGGGTATCTTGGCTGTACAACTGTTAAGTGAACCATGGTGTGTCTGCTGTGTGGCCCTTCAAGCATGCCTCTCTCTGTGGGAAAACAATGGCTGGAATGTCACAAGCTCTGCAGATGGTTCGAGCCAAAGGGATCTTCAAAAGTGTTGATTTGGCTGGCCTACAAAACAGCGGGAAACTCTTTAATTCGCAATGCCTTTGTCCACCAAGTTGACCACTTTTGGGCCAGACTCCAATTTGAGGCCATCCTGTGTGTGGGCTGGATGATAGCCATCAGGCTCTGAAGTGGTTCTATGGGATGACTTTCGGTCACAGCGTGTGTACATCGGTTGGATTAACCTGAGTCTACTCTCTAGGGATATGAAATTATAGCTTGATTTCAGTCTTCTCAACCTCTTCCATCTCAACTCTGTCTTG